CCCCAAAACCCCAAAACCCCAAAACCCCTTCAATATTGATAATGGTCTTAAAAAAGAAATGAAAGATGAAAAAGAGATATAACTTTAAATATAAAATAATTCCAAAATATGTCTCACAGTTTAAACAGTCATCCCCTAAGAAACAAGTCGAGCAACAATCAGCCTAATATCAACAACATACCCCAGGCTTAGTCAAGTAACAACCAAAGTCTGATTGGAGGCAGCAACACTCAGAACTTATTCAAAGTTCTCAAAAAGTCTCAGATCGATACAACCACTGGAGGAGGTTTCGCCTTAGCTAACGCATTGACTGGCACACAACTTCGAACGAATTCAAGGAATAACAACAATATGCAGGCAATGACAGCCAACCCCTAAATAAGCAGCTAGAATAACACAATGTTTCCCTCGTCTTATGAGTTCAACTCAGGCATCATGGAAAACAGTGGAGGCAGTCCAAGTATTTTGAATAAAAAATCCTCATCATATAGTTGAAATGCAAATGCTTAAAAGAAATAACAATACTATACATAGAATCAAGGTGTAAAGAGTAATACTAGAGGAGATTTAATATCTTAAGAAAATACTAATGGTTCAGTCAATAGGCAAAGTAGCAACAGACGAATTACATAGTAACTCTAAGGACAGTAAAATTCATAATCGCTTTAAGTTCAAAATATCAATTAACTGCTAAAGGATCAGGCTAATGCTGCCAATCCAATATAATAAAAGCAAGAAAGCGGAGTTTTTCCACCAATGTCTAGTGGAAATAATGGCTAATCTTAGATTAAATAAAATGGGATATCTAGGAATTAAATATATAAGCAGAGCCTATCCGATAGTGTTAATTAAAAATTAGTAAAGGGCTTGAGTCCTAAGGCAAGCTTAGAATAGTAGCAGCAACTGTAAGGCAATTAAAATTTCAGTCCAAATAAGAATCATAGAGCAATATCTTAAATAACTTCCTAGAAAAGTGGTTCAGGAGGAAATGGGGAGTCCTAATTCACTGAAATACCTATCCTTTAGCAATCCTCTTCTGGTTCTGGCAACCTTAGAAGTGCTAAAGGCAGTTTGTCTAGAACTAGAAACAATAATCAGAATCTGAATAAGGCAGATTTATTAGGCAATCAAAGACCCTAATTTTATACAATGAAGAATAATGGTGGGAATAGTGCGAATTAAACAAGCAATCTTGGTATTACTTAACAATCACCACATAATTTCTCAGGCAGATTTAATAATTCAAGCACACTTAAAGGTTTGCAATAACAGTAGCAACAAAATGTAAACTAGTAGAATAATATGGGATAAGAGTATGACCCAACAACTTAATTCATGCAATCTTATGATGCGGCTAAGTTTGCAACTAAGAGGAATGGAGTAGTGGTATCCTATGCAGCTAACACTCATTAAGGAATAATCAGAAATTATAATGAGGATAGAGTTTCAATAATACTGAACATTATCCAACCCAAATTTAAGGAAACAAAGACTTGGCCTAGATGCTCATTCTTTGGAGTGTATGATGGACATGGAGGAGCTGCTTGTGCAGACTATCTAAGAGATCAATTACATTAGCTAATAGTAAAGGATCCTTATTTCCCTTAAAATCCGAAGAAAGCCATCGAAAATGCATTTATTGAGGCTGAAAGAGCTTTTATGGAGTTCGCAGATTAATAAGCAGTTTTAGAAACTGGCCAAATTGATAGAAGTGGCTCATGCGCTATTATTGCTTTAATAGTAGGAGACATTTGCTATGTAGCCAATGTAGGAGATTCCAGAGCTGTTATGTCTGTTGATGGTGGAGAAAAGATACTCCTGCTATCAAAAGATCACAAACCTGAATCAGATGATGAGACTAAAAGAATTGAAGAAAATGGTGGCAGAATATATTAGAACTCTAATTATATCCCAGACATCAGTCCACAAGGAAAAGGACAAATGCAGTTGATTGTTGGGCCCCACAGAGTCTTCCCAGGTAGATTGTCCGTATCAAGGACAATTGGAGATATTGAGGCAAAAGAACCAAAGTACGGTGGAAATCCTAATGTAGTAATTCCAACTCCAGATATAAAGTGCTTTAAGATAAGAAACAATTATGACTTCATTATCATTGCTTGCGATGGAGTCTTTGAAAAACTGAATAATCTAGATTGTGTCTAAGCAGTCTGGTAAGCTTCAAAAATTAATCCAAAAAGCCAAAGCAATTAGCATGATGATCGAAGTATCCATGAAAAGTGTGGTCATAGTATTGATAGAATATTATAGACATCTGCTTTTAGAAGAACTTTTGATAACATCACAGCTGTGATGATTGCATTTGAAAATTTTGAGAATATTGCAGGTTAATCAATTGCAAGCGAGGGTCAAGCAGATAGCTAGCCCTAAATTTATCATATAGACAATGAAAAATAGCATATGCCTTTCAATCGTTTGGAAACAGTAGTTGAGGAAGAATACATATAATCTGAAGAAGTAGATCAGATGCTAACAGAGCCAGTATTGACTCATGAAAAGTCAAAAGGTTCTACTAGAAATTAAAATGACAGTGATTCCAAGTAGAATTATCAATAATCTAATGACTCAAAGGAAGACTACTAGTTTGACATTAATAGCAACAGCAATTAAGATGGATTGAGTAAACCTGGCATTAGCTCTCTAAGAAAGAAATCCGCAGAGAATATTCAAAGTCGGGGCAATGGAGCTGCAAATGGTAATAATGGGAATCGAAGATAATCAGCTTCATCTCCCTCGCATTCCAGAGATAGCAATGCTCAACAATAATCAATCTCTAATCTTAATCTAAACAATAATAACAACGGCTAAAATAATACAAGCACTTCAAAGAGTGCTGTAAGAATGAGTTTTCAAGTTTAAAGCCAAAATTCACAACTACCATAGCCTAGACTTTCAAACAGTACTCTTGTAAGTGATCAGAACTAATAACTTAAGGACAGAGTGTAGGATCAATTATTTGGAATGGCAAGAGGAAGCAATACAAATACTACTGGTAATGCACAGTTGGGCTCATCCAATGGTTTGAGAAATAACAAAAGTAGTAGTTTGGGCAGAAGAGATCAAACTTAAAATGCAAGAATAGTTTCAAACTCAAGTGAATAGCAAGCTAGCAGCAACAATAATAGCTAGAAGATTCAACGAAGCGGGGTGAGTGACAAAGGTTACAGTAGTACCAGCAGAAATGATAATAGGAATATATCTCTTAATCCGCAGTAATTGCCTTTGACTTAAAGTCTTGTCAGCGGAGTCCAGCCCCTTATTGCTAATTTTCATCTGGATAATAGTCAATAGAGGCAGAACATAATTCATTAGAATACACTTAGCAATAAGGCATCGAGAAATCAGCATTTAAAATAATACTAATCTTTGAATTCTGCTTTAAACAATCAGATCAATCCTAATCTCACATCTCAAGTATTACCTATAGGGGGCAACTCAAATGAGTTTGAATTCAATCGAACTCAGTAAGTTACATCCTCTCATGTAGGTACTAAGGCTAATAATGTCATCAGTAATAATAATACTCAAAGTAGCGTTGGCGGGCAAAACACTTCTGGAAAAAATTGGTTTTCCAATACTTAGCAGCTGACTGGTATTAGTCAGCTACATAAACATTATGAGAAAAAGCAGACTAAGACTAAAGATAAAAATGTGCTATGAATATAGTCTAGGAACAATATACAAAAATACATTTGATCTAATAATGAAATTCGGAGTAAAACCTAATTTGAAGAGCTTGCCCTTTAGAACCTATCTCTTACATTAATATTATAAGAATTATTTGTTTGGATCGAATTAACTAATCATTTTGATGTTATATTAGTTAGATAATAATAAGTTAAGTTAATCTCATATTTTAAATATAAAATAAAGATTTAAATGTCCATAGTCCTATATCAAGCAGAGAGGATTAGTTAAGTGGAGAAAAATTATTAAAGAAAATTAGATAACATATTTTCACCTTGCTATTTCAATGACTTCATATAAATTTATATCAGAATTTATATTTCAATGCAGTGTCATTAAAATAGGTGACTCTGATTTATTTCAATTTGCTTATCTGACTGCGAGGGTCAAGCCTTGCTTATGTCTGATTACTAGGTTTTCATTGTTAAAGTAAACTTTGGCAGTGATATCAGCTGAGCTGCCTCTATGGTCTCCTGATTAATTTAAAATCTTCTCGAGTCTTGCTGCGTTCTTCATGATTGATGATACTATCCCACTTAAGTTCTTATCAAAGTTCCCCTAACTTTCAATAGGAAGTCCTAAGTTGTCGACCAAGAGGACTCCAATAGTTCCCTTGTGGCTTTCCTTGCTAAAGGGCAATAAATTAATAAAGTGGCGATTACATTTCAGTCATCTTTTTGTGTAGTTCTGCTTCCATTTTTTAATTATGATCCTTTCTTAATAAATAATTATAATACTTTAGTTATTGAGTTGTTAAGAGTGTTATATTACTAAAGTGATAATGTTTAGTTATTAAGATAATGATAATTTAATTTGAATTAAATAAATTAAATGAAGAATTCAAAGCAAGGTGGAGTTGCTTCAAGTGCAAATAACGTTCCTTTTCACTTGAACAACGGCAGTCACTCTCATTCTCAGCACAGCTATCCCTATAATTAATTCAACTTTGATTCAGCCTAAAATTTTGAACTTGCTCTAATGGATAATGAATCCCCAGAGCGAAACTAAGGTGCCTATAATGGCAAATAAAACCATAGGTAAAACATGAATGATGCGATGTTCTTCAGAATGTAGTCTTAGGATCAAAGTTCTAACTTTAACCAAAACCAGTTTTTTAATGATCCCATTCCAGATCAAGAGGGATTTCTTAAGTCTATCCTGGAGTAGAACCTAGACGGGGATTACTCAGATAGATTTAATCGGTAGGTGTACATTGGAGGAGTAGGCGTTGGAGGAGTCGGAGGAGAGGATCTCAATAAAATTCATTAGAATTTTGCTGGCGACACTTTCAGTCAAATCAGTTCAACCTATGAACAGTAATTACAGCAGGTTATTAGTGGGGGTAATGGGAATAGCAATTAATAATAAAGCAGACATCAGCAATCTCAAAATGATGCAGGCAAGTCAAACAAACTCAGCAATAATAAACTGCATCAGTATTACGAGAAAAACCGATCCAAAAGCAAATAAAATAATAGTAATAATATAAATATTCATGATGATGAGTTATTAGACTCTGCAATTCTTAATAATTTAAATGAGGATATGAATAGTCCAAGAGAATTAAATAATAATAATATGAATCACTTTTCAAAAATAATCCCTGGCAATGGCAACCAAATTATTGATTTTCAGTATTCTAAGAATAATGACAACTTACCAAGTCCACACAGCAATCTTAACAACATTATAATGAACTCTGATAATTTGTAGCAGTCAGATATCCAATCGACCATGACTATTTACAATTCAGGAATTTTCGACGATGCTTCTATTATTCGAATCTTAGACAAGTCAATATCAGATGATTCGTTGTTTCTGCTGCAGTAGATTGAAGATGTGAACGGCAACAAGCAACAATCTCAGATGCGAACTGGCTAAGAAATTGAAAACAGTTTCAAATTCGAATGTGAAGATGTTAAGTAAATTCTTATGAACATAACTAACAAGTACAAGGAGAGACTGCAAAGATAGAGACAAAATGGGCCATAGTCATCAAGTTAATTCGTTCCAATCTCTTGTGAGGAGTTGAAATCATTCGAAATATTGCAAACTTCAGCCATTGAAAAAATAAGATAGATACAGTCACTTGGTAAACTAGTGTTTGACAGTTAGAGGGTGAAAAGTCTCTCGTTCAAGAACTATAAGCAGAACTTGAAAATTTAGCTGCATAATTAGATTCAAAAATTTAAGGACATCTGCAAGAGACAGTACTAGCAAGCTGAGGAAAGAAAGTTCAAGTACCAGATCAATGAATTTGAAAACAACGAGAAAATATAGCAGTTAGAAGAACGATTGGAAAGATAAAACGAAGATGTAAATAAACTGGCTAATAAATGTGAATAACTAAAATTTGAAAAAAAGATCATCGCTCAGAAAAACTAGCAAAAATTGATTGAAATGGAAGCCATACTTAAATCATTAATAAAGAATTTGGAGTCATAGGATAGGGAAAAACTTTCTAAAATCAACAATTCCTTCTGTCTCGGCACTGATCACTCAATGCTGCTGCAGCCTATCAATAAAAAGAGACTATAGTAAATAAAACAACAGCAAATGACTGATATTCAGCAGTCTGTAGATGAAAAAGAGAATGAAAGCATACTTTCTAATCAAGTGGCTTCCAAGTATTATGACAATAGAGAGTTGAGGATGAATCTATAGCATATTAAAAGACTTGTCAGAGAAAATAAGAAAATAAACTTAGTTGCAAGGGATGATCATTAGTTTCAACAACAGGAAGGTGGTTCATATTATGAGTCTTCGTCGATTCTAAATCTAATGGGTGAACTTAACAAGGAAAACGGTTAAAGAGATTCACTAATTTAGTAGTCGTAGTTTATACCAGCTGAGGGCAGTTAAGCTGATATCAATAGAGCTTTTATTCAGTCTTAGAATGCAAGTTCTTCCATGTAAAGCTAAAATAGTAATTTATTCATAAGGGGATAGAAAATGATTAACATTGAGGAAGAAGATGACAATAATCAGTCGCTTGATTACAAGTTTGACAAAGATCACATATTGGTAGTGATGGATGGAAATAAAAATCATTAAAATATATAGTAAAAATCGAAAAGAAGTCTTAAAGACATTATGTACCTTGATGATAAGATCTCTGCTTAAGACTTAGTTGCTGGAGCCTCTTAAGAAGACATATCTGATACCTAAAGAAGAGTTAAAGAGCAGCAGCGATAGATCATGCTTTAAATGAAGAAAACTGATAAATTTGATTAGAAGTTTTTCAGCATGAGTCAGCAGAACTCAATTGATGATGATTTGAATATTCTTAATGACCTTTCAAAGGAAAAACTAGGCAATAATTTATAGGATCTTAACTTCCCTCACGACCTATCTGGGATTAATGATGACTTCTAGTTTAAAAACAGCATTTAAGAAGGCAATAAATTTGGTTCTGGAAGAGATATCTTCATTGCTGATGACTTCACTGGAGGAAGTCTAGAGTTTAATAGCAGAAATGATGAGAAACTATACTCTGGAGGAAGCAGCCAACTATCAATGATTTAGGCATTTCAATCTTCGAAGAGATTCGTAAACATCGGAAATAATGAAATATTTATTGTGAAAGTATTAGACAGAAAGATACACATTCCTAAACTGAATCTGAGAGTAATTTCAGAGTATGGTGAGCCATTCAAACACAACATTCCTGATATTGAAAATAGTCAGGAGTCTAGTCTTAGTCAATCGCAATTTCCTCACTCATCAAAATCTTAAGTTTAGAAGCAAATTATTTAGACTGACCCACCCAACATCACTAGCTTTTAAAATGAATCAATTTCAAAGAACTACTAAGACTAAATTGAGAACACTTATGGCTCTATGAAGGAAGACGCAGGGGCACTTGATCAAGCAATTTGCATTGATAACAGTAAAATTAATAACTCTTAAAGTTCAAACAAGAATAGCTTTGTCCCTTAGAATGCTGGCTTCAATATGTTCGATTCATTCAAATAAGAATTAAGTAGACTAGATTAAGTCAAAGGAAATTAAAATGTGAACATTGCAGTATCATCGGGTGAAAAGTCTTAAGTTAATAACATTAAGAAAGATACTTAAAACGATACTATGAACTTAGATGAAAGCCTAATACAACCTAATTAAGATGATAACATAATTTTCAATGAATAATTCAGATAATAATTCTTGAATGAGCAGTAAAAGTAAGATCTAATTCATGGATAAAGTAGAGATAAATCAGTAGACCTTTCTATAAACTTGAGTCGGTTCAAGAAATCTCAATCTGACCCAAATCTTATGTTTAATGAGGTAGAATCAGATGAGGAAGAGAAACAGTAGAAAAATCCTTATAATAAATAGAGCAACAATTAACCCTAGAGATCAACCTATCAAAGCTTACTTAATTAAGATGATTTAAACAATGAGAAGAATAGCACACAAGTAAATCTTAAGAAACTTAAAACCCCATAAAACCAAGCTCAAGCTAGATTCAAATTTAATTAGCCTAGAGATGAAAGTCTGTAAGATTAGAAGTAAAACTAGCAACCATAAAATGGCAAAAAGTTATTGAGAAAATCACTTGGCTAGTTTCAAAGCAAGAAGAGATCAAGTGCTAATAACTCAAAGAATGATCCTGAATTATCTGAGAAATAATCTGATTAAAACACTGAAAGTTAATTATCTAAGCCCGTGAGAACTGTTATTAGTCTGAATAAGCAAATCATTCATACGATTCAAGATCAATAAATTCAGAGTACAGAGGGGTCTTAAAAGCCATAGTAATTTTCAGGTCAACGTATGACTACACAGAGCCCTGATTTATCTGAAGCTACATCTGAAAATAACTAAAAAATAAAAAGAATAGTGTAGAAGCCAAAAAATAGGAGAGACATTTCTGTCATAAAAACTAATCCAAATCTAGAGCATATAATTGAATCAGATTAGAATTCAGCTAAGGATCCATATATCTCAGACAATAGCTCAGTCAATAATAATAAAAATATAAAATCCAAGCTCATTCAAAACTATGTAGTCTCTGCTGCTTCAATGCAAAGTCAAAATTCTCATAAATCTATCTAGAGCAAAATATTAAACCAAAAGCAGCAAGCTTAAGGCACTCGAAATCAATTAGGCTTTGCCCAGTATTCTCATTAAGATATCAATAACAGTAGCAATATTCTTAAGGCAGCAGATCCATATGTTTCTAATTCTAATTTGATAAAGTAGACTAAGGAAATCTCAAATAATTCAATGATCTAGCAAATGAAGGAATACTAAGAGCAATGTGATGTTTCACTTAATGTCAATATTCAGAGGAAAAAGATGATCAAATAACCAATTGCCCCCAATAACCAAACTCAAGAAGATGAAGATAAAATTTGTTTATCTCCCAATCAAAAGAAATCTTCATAGTCACATACTCCTCAGAAAAAAGGATTAATGATAGTTAGCAAATAATTGATAAAGGCTAAGATTAAAATCAACAATGTAAATAGTACCAATGTAACTAACATTGCTGGAGTAAATGCCAGTCTGCTGGTGGAAGCTGACAACCAGGGATAAGATAAACCTCTGCAGAAATTCAAGATGCCAATAAACAAGATCTCATTGAATAAGATTAAAATGAATAAGAATGGCTAAAATAAGACAGTTATTAACTAAAGCGAGTCAGTGTTGATACCTGATCACAACCATGTTGAAAACTCAATGATGATTCATGATATATCAATGATAAATCCGCCTCCTAATTCATAAAAACCTAAACCAACCACCAAACTAATATTAAACAATGACAATAACACTTCCCATATTCTGAACTAATCAGTGGTCTAAGGCTAAAAAGGTGTCTTGCCAAGTTCAATAGTGAATAAGAACATTCAAAACCTAGTCTCGTAGTAAGCTACTAGTCAGAGTCAATAAAAATAGTAGTAGGCTTTCAAACAGTTTAGTGTATCCAAGGATCTTTTGGATAAGATCAAGAAATAGCAAGCCAAGCAAAATGAATCCTCTGTTTCAACAGTCAATCAGTCTGCTATTTTCCAGCCTCTAAATATAGTTAATCAGAAAAGTTTTAAATCTAATAATCCTAAAATTGACAGGTCAATGCTTGTAGGAGATTAATCTGCTATTATTCAAAATAACATGAGTTTATTATATCAAAATAGCAATAATCCAAATGTTACTCAGATAAATAATGAATATGAAGGGCCTTATGATATGAGTATGATTGCTCCTAGTATTAACGATGCTAATAGACCCTCTATTATAAATGACAAGAATTATAGTAGTTTGCCATCCAAATCCAAAGCAAATGCTAACTTATTCGCAGGGGAAATTAAAAAAGTAGAGGAAAATAAAATACAAAAGAGAAGGCGAGATTAGCTTCTTTTCAAAGCTTCCCTTATAAATCAATAAAATAGCAGCTCTAGCAATATAAATCAAAATCAATAGTGAGCTTGTCAAGAAACTCAGATAAGTAGTGCAAATTCTTTGCCTAATTTTGTTAATATATGTTTATGATATAAATTTGCCTTAATTAAGATATATTTTATTAAGAATTCAATCAATGTTTAGCTTCAATGTTAAACGATGGGGTTTTGGGGTTTTGGGGTTTTGGGG